ACACGGCGTCGCTGGGTTCACGGTCGAGACCTGGGCACGATGAACGGCTATGCGCGATAGCAGACAGGGCTTGCGGTTGCGCACGGCTGGGCTCGGGCGAGGTCTGGGCGGCGACTGGTTGCGACGGCGGTTTTCCGGCGGTGGTCGGCGGCGGCGAATGGCAGCGACTGGCTGGGGAAGATGACCGGAAAATATGGCTTTGAGGTTTAAAGAAATCTCACCTTAAAGCCTTCTAATGAATTACCTAAACACCTACTTCAATTAATCTTGGTGGTGCGATTAATTGAATCTCCCTAACTCTCGAACAAAACTATTCTCTCTCTATTGCTAGGAGAAAATTCGGCCTCTATGTATGTCTCAAGAGGTTTGGGACATGGTGTATTTATAGGCTTCATTAGGGACCTTAAGGAGGTGCCAAATATGGGCTTATCCCATTAGGTCAAGGAATCCTAATTCTACTCCATAAGCTAATCCTTATTAGGTCATAATTCCTTTTTCTTAACATCACCTTCTAGAAGACTCTCTAGTCTCCTAACCCTAGGTGAGATTCTAGAAGGAATATTCCCTAAGTCTTGGAATAATAAATATGGAATAAAATTAATTCCTAAATTTCTAATAAAATTAAATAATAATATATCCCACTAGAATATTATTATTGCTCTCCCCATTTGGCTCCTAATTTAATTAATTAAATTAAACCTCCACTTGATTAATAAATATTAATCTGACTGACCGATTTACCTCCCCATGTTTAAGATATAACGTCCGTGGATTAATTAAATTACTGACAAGATAATTAATCGACTTCTTATTCATTTCTGAAATTAGTACCACTCAGAACCTTAATCATTGTGTCGGATAAATATCCACCTGCAGGGTTTAACACAATATTCCTTCCTGAGCTCATTTCGGGGACGTCATCAATCCAGCGCACTGGAACACGATACTATAAATAATTTATAATAGCTCGTCATATAATCACTCTTATTTACCAAAGTACTGAGTATGTCATCCTAGTAAAATAGGAATCACCCTTGGTAAATCAAATAAACAAGTAATGAATATACACGACTATTTTATATTATCTTATAGCTTTAGAGAACGCATCAATCGCTGAAGGTATAGATTATAACAACGATCAGTGAATCTCATAATCTTATCCTTCCGGCGATCCTGTTCAATACTTAACATAAGTACTAGTGTAATTCTCCAGTCAAGGTCAACTGAATCAAGAATACACTACAGTCTTTTTTCAAGTGGGGTCTCACTGTCAGTCTAGACTGTGAACAAATGATTTAGTCTTACAAGGAACTGATAGGTGACCTTTCTGTTCGACACCACGAACCACACCATCTCAATGTAAGACAAGGAGTATGATTGCATAAATAAATAAACTGCAAGCATAAATATTTTGACTAAAACATGATTGCCAGATCAAAATGGTATTATTAATATCTGAAAGCTAAGCTTGTACAGCATATCTAACACTCTCATCTCACCAAGCATCACTAATGACACGAACCACTCATTGCTCAAACAAGTGGAGGAAGAAGAAGTTAAAGTGGCTTTATTCAGCCTGCAACCAGACAAGTCTCCTGGTGAAGTAGGTATGACTGCCAGATTCTACCAACAATTCTGGGATTTGCTAAAACCTGATCTCATGAGGGCTGTGACTAGCTTCTTCAAATCAGGTATGCTCCTCAAATACTAGAACCATACAGTAGCGTCTTTGATTCCTAAATGTGACAACCCTGAATCATTGAGCCAATATAGACCAATCAGTCTCTGCAGTGTAGTCTATAAAATTATCTGTAAAGTGTTGGCTCAAAGGCTGAAAGGGTGTCTCACCTCTTGCATTAGTGATTATCAAGCTGCTTTCATTGAGGGCAGACAATTAACAGATAATGTGATTATAGCTCAGGAGGCATTCCATTTTTTAAATAGACATTCCTCTGGTCCTAATTTCTTCATGGCTTTGAAATTGGATTTGGTTAAAGCTTTTGATCGTGTTGAATGGATTTGTCTAAAGAAGATTATGCTTCAAATGGGTTTTCATTCTGATTTTGTCAAGCTTATTATGGTCTGCATCTCTACTGCCTCATTCTCATTCAAAGTAAATGGCTCAACAAATGGTTATGTATCTCCTTATCGTGGCATAAGACAGGGGGACCCTTTGTCCCCCTATTTGTTCATCATAGTGGCAAAATTGCTAACAGCCCTCATTTTAAACTCTATTGACAATGGCATGCTGAAAGGGCTGAAGCTGTCAAGAAATGGACCAATGCTCTCACACCTCTTATTTGCTGATGACTCACTTTTCTTTTGGAGCAGTACAGGCCTTTTACAGGTCAAGCTGGTGAATCATCAGAAATCTGTTGTATTCTTCAGCAAGAATACTCCTCAGCACATTCAAACAGCCATTTGCAGAGCAATGAATGGAATTTCAACTCACAGATCAACCAGATATCTTGGTCTACCATTAGGGATAGACAAATCCAAAAAGGAAGTTTTTGAATATTTATTAGATTCAGTGAGGAAGAAACTTACCAGCTGGAAGTCCAAATTTTTAAGCACTGCAGGAAAGGAGGTTCTTTTAAAAGTTGTCATCCAAGCCCTTCCTGTTTTCACTATGTCTTGTTTTTCTTTGCCTGTGTCTATCTGTGCTGAAATAGCTAAACTGTGTGCTCAGTTTTAGTGGCAATCTAACTCAGAACAGGCAAAAGGAATCCACTGGAAGAAATGGAGTTTTCTTACCTTTCCCAAAGACAATGTTGGACTGGGATTTCATGACTTACAGCTCTTCAACAAAGCTTTGATATGCAAACAGTTGTGGAGGGTTGCTTCTAACCCTGATCTTCTTGTTAGCAAACTGCTTAAGGATAGGTATTTCCCTCAAACCTCTCTTGTGCAAGCCAATAAAACTCAGGGTGGATCTTGGATGTGGAATTGCTGGATGGACATGATGCCTTTGTTTGCTAAATGGCTTAAGATTGAAGTTAGAAATGGGGCAAGTACCAGAATTACTGATTTGAACTGGGTGCCAAACTTGAATAAGCCAGCCCCCACTCTCATTCCCATAGCAAGGGATCATCTTATATGGGTTAGTGAATTGATACACAGTAATGGATATCAATGGAATGAGTGGCTTGTCAAGCAGGTTTTCAACAACTCAGATAGCCAAGCCATTCTCAATATTTCTTCACTTCATCCCCGAAGGACTGACATAATTTACCGGGGTCTTGACCAAAAGTTCACAGTTTCTGGTACCTACAAACACCTGTGCAGGCTAAAAGCTCTGAATGCAGACATCCCTGAGTGCAGCAACAGTAAGGAGATAAAGCAATCCACCAGGCTTAGGTTTTGGAAAGTGAAAACAGAAATAAAGATCAAGCATTTTCTGTGGAAATGCTTAGCAGGTACCCTACCAGTTGCAGTACATTTGAGGAAAAGAGGAGTGGAACTTGACACCACCTGCTCTTTATGTGGAGAAGCAGCTGAGACTGTTGAGCACATTTTTTTCACTTGCAGAAGAGCAATCACAGTATAGCAGATGAGTCCTTTGAGGTGGGATGGGCTGCAGTGTTGCACTGATTCTTTTAAGACTTGGTGGTATCACATTTGTTCTCTTGACAATTCTGAAGTAGCTGAAGCCAAAATTCAACTTACTAAGTATATGCTTTGATGGCTTTGGAAGTCGAGGAACTTGTGGATTTTTCAGAAGTCTTTAATCCCGGGAAATAAAATTTCTAAGATTGCTCATGCTGATTGGATGGAGTTCATAGATGCTGTTTCTTTAGTTTAATTTGTCTTTGTCTCTTTTATTTTGGCTTTGTTTTTTGGTTTAAGTTAGATCTCTTGCTAGGCTTTGTAGCAGTGGCGGGGGTCAAACTCTTTTGTTTGTTTCTCCGGTTTTTGTGTTGTTGAGGTTCTAGATTGCTTTATGCGTATCTCTCAGTTTGCTGTTTCGATTTGTAGACTCTTGTATTCGAACTATGTTCGCTTTGAGATTAATATAGCTTCCTCTGTCGTTTCGGGGGAAAAAAAAACTCAACCATCATTCTCAATATTATTAGTATAATTAAATAATATTAATCAATACACATTACATCAACTTTAATCTACTATTTATCTACTCACATAATTTTAACTAACCATCATTTCACATCATCTCTCTCCTACTTATATATCAAATAAACTTTAAAAATTTTAATTTAATTATTATTTTAGTATAAACTCAAAATCTCACTAACAACTAACTATAACACATTTTTCAAACTTAACTAAACCAAACCAAACCAAAAACCTAAAAAAAACCAAAAAAATTCTATCCAAGCATCCCCATTAATAACTTTTTTTATTTGTAATTGTTTCTTTGTCTTTTGACGATTTTTGATTTTATATCTATATTGCATGTATATAAAATTATCTCTACCTTTATAAATAAAATTAACTTATCTAATATATTTTAATTAAAAAAATCAAGAATAATAATTTTTAATTTAATTTAATCAAGTTTATTATATGATATGAGTTAGAAACATTATTATGAAAGGACAAGCAAATGTCATAGGTACACATAAAATTAAAAAAAAAAATTCTTTAAGTGTAATTTTTTCCTTTTCTAAACCATTTAAGCATAAAATTTTCAATCGACATCCATACCCGTGTAATACACGAGTGCTTTAGCACTGCAAATTGTTCTTTTTCTTTCTTTTCTTTTTAAACGAAGAATATCAATACATATATTGGCTCATTTACATATTTTTAATTTATTTAATATTTTTTTTATATCATACCAACTTATCAAACAATATTCAATTATCTTTATATATTAAATTTAATTATTTCTTTATACTTATTTATATTTATAATTTTAAATGTATCTATTTTTTCCCCTAAAAATAGCATTTTCAACTTTAAAAATAGCATTTTCAACTTTTATAACATATTTTTAAGGGGACAATTATTTTCTTTTTAAAAAACATCTTACTATATACAATCACGGCGCAAGCACGGAACACACACGAGCCTTCGCCCGACAGCTAAAAAAAAGCCTAAAACCCTAAAGTCCCCGCCTCCGCCTCTCTGTGCTTCCCGGCAATCATGGAAGGCGTCGAAATGGAAACGGCGCCGCCGGAAAAACTATCCAGCGAGGACTTTTGTTCAGCCGTCCTCTCTCAGTTCAGCCGCTCAAACAACGAGCACCACCTCCACATCTGCGCTGCCATAGGGGCCATGTCCCAGGAGCTGATTGATCAGAACCTCCCTCTCACCCCCATCGCCTACTTCGGTGCCACCTGCTCCTCCATCGATCGTCTCTCTTCGAGCGTCGACGCCCCCTGTCACCTCTTGGAAGCCCTGCTCACCATCTTGTCCCTAGTTATTGACAGATTTTCTCCCTCCGTACTTAGATCGAAATTTGATTACCTATCGGAACTTCTGATTCGGGTGCTTGGGGCGAAGTCCGTCGGAGTTAACGGCCTTGTGCCGGGGATGAAGTGTGCTTCGCGGTTGCTGGTGGTGAGGGAAAAGGTGAGCTGGGCTGATGTGGCTCAGCTTTACGGCGTTCTCATTGGTTATATTGCTGATGAACGGCCTAAGGTAAGAAAAAAAGTTGTTCTTTTAGCCTTTTCATTTTACGTTGTTAATTTCTGGAAGAATGACTTTATACTCATTAGTATTTGCCAAATTGAAAGAATAATTTTTTATGCTCTTTGAACATAGAGAGATAGACAACGCCACAAGCGATTTTTTTCCCCGAATTTTGCATTCAGAATTTCTGAGTTCTCAACAATGCAGTTTAGTTAAAATATTACAATGCAGTTAAGCTAAAATATTTTATGGTGCATTATTTATTTTTTCCTTTTAGAGCAGCTAATTGTGTGCATTTTCTTTTCTTTTTAGTTTCACATTTTTTAGGATGCTTGCCGCTGTTTCATTATATTGCCTGGTTAAACTGAATGCTTTTGTTTCAACCTGGCTACTTTATTGATCATAGCCTGTCAAATTGTATTTTTGGTGATCTGTACCTTTGGTTAGATGGAGAAAATTATGGTTTTCGTGACAGGGCATGTTAGTCAGTAGTGAGGATGTTTGAAATTGGCTTGAGTAATTTCTTACATGGACAATCGATAATTTGAGTTGGTAGATGTTAAGGTAGTTGAAAGACCCCATGACTTGTTGATATGTCACTGAACTGTTACTAGTGTTTATGTGCTATTGTATTGTTGTTCAACTGACCTCAACAAGCATCACTTTGGATAATGAAACACAGGTAAGGAAACAATCACATTTGTGCCTGCGTGAAACTCTGGAGTATTTTCATTTAGCACCGGCCATTGCACCATTGGTGGCACCTGCTAGTGAATCCATTACGAATGTCTTTGAGAGGTTTCTTCTTATTGCTGGAGGATCAAATGCAACCGCTTCAGAAGGACCCAAGGCAGCACAGGAGGTCCTTTACATTCTGGATGCTCTTAAAGCCTGTCTTCCTTATATGTCATCAAAATCCTCCACAAACATCTTGAAATACTTCAAATCCCTTTTGGAACTCAGACATCCTATTGTTACCAGACGCATAGCTGATGGTCTTAATGCCCTGTGTCTGCATGCCGTTGGTGAAATTTCTGCGGAAACCCTTACTGAATTATTATGCTCTTTAATTACCTCGGTTTCCCCAGATGAGTCGTCTGCTGATAGCATGACATTCACTGCTCGTTTGCTGGACACTGGGATGAAAAGAGTTTATTCTCTTAATAGGCAAATTTGTGTGGTCAAGCTTCCCCTTGTTTTCAATGCATTAAAAGGTGGGTTCATCCTCGTTCTGATTTCATTTGCTCTTCCTTTATTTTGTTGCAAAAAAATTTCATTTGGAAAAGTTTTAACTAACTTGTTCAAACTTGGCTGTCATGTTCTTTTGTCTTCGGTTAATGGGCTCAAATTACATAATTTCCATGTGTGCCACTGGGCTTAAGTTCACTTTTCTTAACCTTTTTTGCACTTCGTGCAGATATTTTGGCTTCTGAGCATGAGGAGGCTTCAGTAGCAGCAGTGGCAACATTTAAAAGCTTAATACACTCATGCATAGATGAGAGTTTGATCAAACAGGGTGTTGATCAGATTACAGTCAATGCTGATGCAGCCACAAGGCAAACAAGCCCAACTGTCATAGAAAAAATTTGTGCAACTGTTGGAAGCCTGCTCGATTATCATTACGAACCAGTTTGGGATATGTCGTTTCAAGTTGTTTCAACCTTGTTTGACAAACTAGGTAGCAAATCAGTTTACTGTTTGTTTCAAGAATGTTGAATAAATGATTTGCTCAGCATCTTGTCCTGATTTGAAGCCTTTTTGTTATCCTTGTTTCAAACACTCTAGTACTGATTAGAAAAAGTGTACAAAAAAATTATCCCTTTTAAGTCGTCTCTTATGAATATAAAGAGGGGTTGGAGTATTTTGAAGTTAAGCACCCTTTCAACTTGGCATTGCAGGTAAAGATTCCTCTTATTTTTTGAAAGGAACACTCAAGAGTTTAGCTGATATGCAGAAGATGCCAGACGAAGACTTCACTTTCAAGAAACAGGTAATTAGCTAAATAATATATTAACTTCAATTCAGAAGATTATTTCCATTGTGTTTAGATTTTGACCCAGTGATTAAGAAGGCGACGCCATGGCGTGGCGAGGCCTCCTCTCCTCGAGCAGTTGTGTCGAGAGGCAGGAAATATTTAAAACATTAGGGTCACGACTTGTGGGCTTTATTTCTTATTTCCCAATTAAACCTGTTCTCTCGAACAAAACCCTCAATTAACTTGTGACTTTTCTTCAACTGACCGAGGCGACTGGATTCCAGCCAGCAGCGTCATTCCGCCGGTGCTGCCGGCAGCCAAGATTTAACCATTTTCTTTTTCTTTTTCCTTTTTCTGTGGCTGCTTTTGGAGTTGATATTAATTGGTAGCAGACTTTTTTGAATGTCCAGTTTTGTCCATGTCGTACTATTTTCTTCTGCCTGCTTCTTGAAAGTGGCAATGTACAGACATCTTCGACGTTCTTTTTTGAATGTTTTATTTTTTCTTCTGCCTACCTTGGTACCTTTAAAGTGAAACTTATATCATTGACTACATTGACTTCACATGTTCATATTTCTGGTCCCTTGGACTAATTTTTAGTATTTGTTTTATTTTAATTATTCAATTTAGGAATACAATGTGTAAATTGGTCATGGTACATAATTGTGTCATAACTTGTGAATTGTATGATATATCTCTATTTTTCTGTATAACGGCTCGCCTTGCTATCGTAAGGCAGGCGCCTCACCTCACCTCACGCCTCAAGCATCACGCCATGGCTAATAGGAGGATCGTCCCCTAGGCTTGCTGTGTGCTATTTTAATTACTGGTTCGACCTTGTATATTATATCATGGAAGAATGCATGAGATATGAACTGCTACTTGACCAGTGTGGAAATCCTTCTATAATTAGCAATCTTAAAATTTATAGTTGTGGATTTTTGAGTACCAAGTAGTGATACTAGTCCATTGTAGTTATTTGTGGAATACATCTGATTTTTGCCGGATAACTTAGCAGACCATTTGGTATCCATGTGGAACTATAGTTATATATGAATGTTAGTGATTTAGATTGGTGGCGTTAGGAACTCCCAATAAAGCATGTTCATCTGCCTAAATTTTCCAAAATCAAGCTTCTTTTTTAAGCAATATTTTTCATCGGTCAATTTGCCAAAAATGGATTATAGTTAATGGCTTAATGCCCGCTTTTCCTATATAGTTACTATTTTTCCTGCAATGAGTAGACTTTCTATGTAGTTGGCTTAAGAAAATACAAGAAATGCATTTAGGATTGAAATAATTGTTGATTTCTTTGAAGGTCACCCTATGTAAATTTTCCTTTGAGCATAAATATCAGAGGTATGAAGTATTTGGAGGATTTGGTGAAATAATCTCTTTCTCATATTTAGAGGGTTATAAGTTTGTCTGAATAAGACACCTGGATGATACAGCTTTGTTTTATATGCATCTTGCAACTCAACTGTATGAAACTTCTCAGACATAATAAAAGCTTCTATCTAACCTATATTGCTGGATGAATTTTATGGTGCATATGGCTTTTGGAACATTTTCCTTTCCAGAAATTTTGGGTTTGACGTAGTTTAGATTAGTCGTTTATGTGGCTCTTCTAACCTATAATGTGGATGCCTGTTTCGAATGCAGAATATTATTTCTTTGTAAATTGAAATAGTCCTTTTTATTAATTATCTGGTCTTAAATAGTTGTATCATTACAAGGGTAAGGTCTGCGTACAACTGACCCCCCAGACCCCAACCTGTTGGGAATATACTGGGTATGTTGTTGTTGTTGTTGTTTAAATAGTTGTATCATTAATTTTGGCAGTTTCACGAGTGTATGGGAACAGCTCTTGGAGCTATGGGACCAGAGACTTTTTTGAGTCTTCTACCTCTTAATTTGGAGATTCAAGATCTATCTGAGAGCAATCTATGGCTTTTTCCGATACTGAAACAGTATACCGTCGGTGCAAACCTAAGTTTTTTTACAAACTCAATTTTACCCATGATTGTTGAAATGAAGAAGAAATCTGCAGAGGTATAAATTTTGAATATTTCATAAGCACATAAACACATTTATGTTGTGTATACTAAATTAACTATATTTGATCCAGTTCGAGCGTGTAGGAATATTACATTCAGCTAGAAGTGTCGATGGGATTGTGTACTCCTTGTGGTCATTGCTACCGTCATTTTGCAACTACCCACTTGACACCGCAGAAAGTTTCAAGGTTCTGGAGAAAGCACTATGTACTGCTCTTCAAGAAGAACCTGAAGTCCGTGGGCTAATATGTTCTGGCTTACAAATTCTTATTCAGCAAAATAAGAGAATCCTGGAAGGAAACCAGGATCGTCCGAGCACCGAAATAGGTGTTGCTGAAGAAAGGGCTATGACCCTCTATACTGCAGATGTTGCTGGCTCTAATTTGCATGCATTGAAATCCTCTGCTCGTGAGCTGTTGACGGTTCTTACTGGGATCTACTCCAAGTCTTCTAAAGATACTATTGGCATTTTGCAGGTAACAGAATCAGTATTCTTGCCAACTTCTTTTTTAAAGAGCGATATTGGTTGTAATATTAGGAGGTCAATGTTGTTGGTTGGTTAAACTTTTTTATAGGTGAAGCTTTCTGTTCAGGGTATCTGACTAATTCTTGGTATGTTCCTATGGCTCCAGTGCAACCCCATTGCCTTGTTCCCCATATTATAGATTTGTATTGTGTGCTTTTATAATCATCACATCTCCTTAAAATACTAGTGAACAGCCCGATGCCATTTATTTTGGCTGCCAACACAGGACATGTTTGATAACTTATTAGATATCAAGAATTAGAGTTGTTTCACCTCCTTTAGTTGTTCTTTCTGTTTTACTTAGAACTGGCACTCTCTTTCTCTTCATTATTGGTAGCCCTTGGCTCTGATGGAGTGAAAGGTTAATTGCGGGAAGAGATTCAACGATGAAATTACTAATTAGCTGATCACAGACTAAACGGGAAGAAAACAAAATAAATGCTGGCAAGCCTGACTCAAGCGCGAATATCGATCTGGATTTCTCCTACCTAGGCCAATGGCTCCTCTTTCTT